TTTGTGTGAGGTGTCGTGTGCGCTCTACCTTGAGAGATGGCATTCTTCCCGGTGGCGCATCTGGCAGGAGAGGGCGGTGCCTCTGAAGGGCCCTGGTCGAAGCACAGGTCACTGTCACCATGCCAACCCATGGGAGTAACACAGGTTCAACTCCCGTTATTCGCCTCTTGCATCTGAACTTGGTGTCAAGACAGTCGATGAATACACGCAGGCCATGCTGCTTTGTCCATTAAGGCCCTTTGCTGCTCTGATAGAAGGGGTGTGCGGACTGACCAGTCCCATGTAGACGCGAACCAGACCGTGTATAAACATTTGTGGCAGGGGTCTGAACTGTCCACTGGCTGTGATTGTTGTCCTGATTGCGACGTTAAATAATTCCTGAGGACTGTGGGGGCTGTTCTTAAACTGCCTCTTGATCAGCCAGATCAGGAAGAGGTAAGGCTCGTTGCACGCGAGGGTTAAAGAACGGGCAGGCTGGTTATAAGCAAACACCTTGGGCACAGGGGTGGGCCGCTAATGCACAACTTAGACACTGTTGCTTGATGATGCCTACAGGCACGTTGGATACATGGGAGGGTGATTCCAATTGAGACTCAACAGTCCGACACAATAATACCCATTTTGCATACATCTGCTTACATAGTTTGTTTTTATTGTGATTAGTTGGTTGACAGACTGTAGTTTATTTTTATTGTGATTAGTTGGTTGACAGACTGCTAACACCTCACAGACAACCTTAGTTGGTTGACAGACTGCTAACACCTCACAGACAACCTTAGTTGGTTGACAGACTGCTAACACCTCACAGACAACCTAAGACTAGAATTGTAGTGTTCTACCACAGACAATTCTCTTCGAACTGTAGTGCCCGCCCTAAGTGAAGGTGGGCCTGAGTATTCATCAGAGGCCAAAATTCAACATTTTTTCATATGTGGGTATTCAGGCTCTTGCAGCGCGCCAGTTGGTTGAGTGGACGCGTGAGCCTCCCTAAGCGGCGTCGTAAAGTTGGCCCAGGCCTTGGCAGTTGCGCCTGGGCACATACACGCACAGCACGGCGGATACATCATGAAGTGGCCACAGGCCTATGCGAAAGCAGTACTGTCAACTTACCTACCCCGGGGGCCTGTGTAAATGCAGCAAACGGCCCAAGTCTGGATACTCAGGCCGTGCCCAACTGTGAAGGGCCCAGGCCCTCAACTGTAGTCTCAGGCCTGGGCGCAGGAACTGGGGCCCAACCGGAAGCCATTGGAAGCTTCAAGCCAGGCCGCATGCAACAACGCAGGGGCTGCCACTTCTGTGTTGGAAGGAGAGCAGCAAGGGCCTGGGCATTCTGGCCCGCTGTCGGAGGGCGCGGTGTCCCGGCCCTCCTTTGTGTGCCAGGCTCCTGCTCAGTACCAGTGCCCCTCTTGGACACCTGTGACTCGTCAGGGTGTTCCCAGACCTCCGCAGGCTCTTTTTGTATACTCGGGTTGTTCCCCGGCTACGGACCAGTCCAGTAGGCGTCCACTTTAGCAAAAGGTTGGGGGTGCGCCAATGGGCTTTCCATTGGTCCAAATACCGCTGTACAGCAGAGCACTGCCGCCACTCGACGCCCTGCTGTACAGCAGAGCACTGGCGGCCTGTGGAGCGATAGCCGCCAGGCTCGCCCAGGGACGCGAAGGTAGAGGGACCTGCGCTATTTTTCCTACTGCGCGCCGGGTGTTTTCTTCCTAAGTTATGGGTTAGATGCACTGGCTGCCTATCACAGTCGAATAGAGAAGAAAAAGGAAAATATGGGAAAAATGGGAGAGGCCGCGTGACAGACCCGCACCTTGATCTGGGTCATCATTTTCTCCAGGGGCAGTTTAGTGGTACGGGCGATACCGACGTTGTGCTTTCTTCTCTCCCTCCCTTTTCCTTTTTTGCTATTACCAATACTATGATGATTATTATTACTATTGTTAATATTACTATTATTGCCATTTTTTTTTCAGGTCTTTCTGTCCTGTCATTGCGCGGGAAGGCCAACAGTTCGAATTTCGAAGCTCAGTTGTGGTTTGTGGCCTAGGCCGGCCCAACCCTTCGCATATTGCCTGTGGCTGATCTGTCCAGCAGAGCGTCACGCAGTGGGACCCCAAAAGAGGGGCGACCCGCGGCCGCATTGGTAGGAGGTTTATCACCCCCAATGGAGGGTCATAATCCCCCTCCTTGCCATCGGACACGGGTACCTGACAGGAACAGGTTGATAGCGTATTTTGAAGGGAGGAGTGTGCCCATCGGTATCTCGTTATGGGACCGCCGTTTCGAGCCTGTAGTCACATTACGAGGACTAGTGAATGACAGTAGCACAGTGGGTTCAACTCGTGCTCTGACCGTTGAGTTTCGGCTTCCCATTCCTCTTTTCTTGATTATTTTATTTTAT